TTAGAGTTTGTCCAAAATGCTTCTGCTGAAAACCAAGCATAGCCCTTCACAGGGTCGCAGGCTTAGAACTGGGAGGGACCTTAGAGTCTGTCTGGTCCAACCTAATCCTTTTGCCGATGAGGAAACCAAGAATGAAGTTAACTGAGGGGAAGTAATTTGCCTGAGGCTACTCAGGCAGCAAGGGACAGGGTGGGCATTGAAGCCACAGAATTGGAAAATTGGAAGGGATGTAACAGCTATCTAGTCCAACCTATAGGTGAATGGAATCCCTACTATAAAATATAACTAATAAGTGATCATCTAGTTTCTACTTGACTGCCAAGGAAGGGGAATCCCCCACCTCTGAGACAGTCCATTCCACTTTTTCTGATTGTTAAAAATGGTTTTTTCCTGGTTTTGAGCCTGAATTGGCTTCTTTGAAACTTCCCCCCATCACTCCTGGTTCTGCCTTCTAGAATTAAACAGAGCAAGTCTAATCCTCTCTCTGCAGGACAGTCCTTTAAATACTTGAAGACCACTGAAACTTGTAGGCTATCTTGTCTTCATGGAGGAAATTCAACCTGAGAGAAGGGTTTCAACAGGCATAGATCTGATCCATTAGTTCCCATTCCCGGACCTCCACGCATTTGCTTAAGTTCCATTCTTGGAAAATAACCTTTCTATATCTCTGCCTTTTAAAATTATTTTCTTCTTTCAGGGGCCAATGTATCCTCCTCAACCTTCATACTCAATTGAAAATATTCTCCCCTTCCTCAAAAATCTTCCTTGAGCATTTTGGACCATCCCATCACATTCTACCTTGCATCATTGTGTGCGTGTGTGTGTGTGTGTGTGTGTGTGTGTGTGTGTGTGTGCGCGCGTGTGTGCACGCATGCGTGCGTGCATGTTTCCACAGGATCTTGGGGTTTTTTTTTCATTGTGTCTTTTGAGACTAATTCAATGCCTTATATAGAAAAAATCTGCATGGTAAACATTGAATTTGGGGATTCTATTTACAATAACAGAAGACTTAATGAATTTCGCTTCTGTGTGTATATGTCTGTGTGTGTGTTTGTGTAGTTTTGCTTTTCTTTTTTTTCAGTATTGGGGATAAGTAGGTAGGAGGGGGAGAAAATGATCAGATTGCAAAAAAAATGTAACTCACAAAACAAAAAGGGATCAAGAGAGCATCATGGAATGGGATAACTTGGGAGAATATGGAAGACTATGAATTTTAAAGGTCAGAAGTAGGACAAGGTGGATAGTGATGGGAGGACAGGGAAAAGTAGGATGGGGAAGGATTTTTGCCACAGAAGATGTTGATTCTGAACTGTAAGAATAAGGAGAGAGGGAGCTGGGAATCTATGTACCATGGCATGGAAGATTGAGGTCCCCCACTATCCAGGATCCTATAATGACTGAACAAAGAGTGAGGATAGGGTGGTGATGTCAGCTCTTCTGGATCCTCTGCCCCCATCATACAGAATGTGGAGATATAGGCAGTAAGTTCTCTATGGACATCTGCATCAGTAAATAATTGGTGTTCCAGTTCCCCAAGGAGGATAGCCTAATCCCAAGGTGTTAAGAGATGAGGCATGTTTAGAAGTATTTGCTGCTAGAAACACTGCTACTTTATATTCTTATTTTGTGGAAAGGGGAGATGATATGGGCATCTGAAGTCATAGTTTTTGCTACTTCCCAAAGTCTTAATCCCAGAAGCACAGGGCCCCTGGTACTTTTGCCGCCCTGAGGCTCAGCACTGGAGTGATAGACTCAAGTCCCTTCAGAAGAGACATTTTACTGCATTTGGCTCCTTGAGGTCCTCTACACAAACAATTGAAGTCCCAGGCAAAGGAGTGGTGCAGATCAGTGTGCTTCACTATGTCTTTGGATCTTTCTAATGGCTGGTGACAATAAGAAAAGTCAGTCATCTCTTATCTCTAAATGCAAGCTCTGTACATGGTATCTTCGACATCATTTTCTAATGAATGGTGAATTCCTTCATTTGATACATTGTGGAGTCAGGCAGCCCTTGCTGCCAGATACCCTTACAAGGCAAGCTTTAGGGTGACAAAATCAGAACAACTCAGGCCATAAAGGAGGTCCTTAGGCAGCTGCCATGACTCCAGTTAATGGGGATTACATTAAATAGACTCCTACCTTAACGATAATGTAGAAAGCTTTAGTGTCTGGTGATGTCATCTCTCAACATCTAATATGAGAGAAGGGGAGAGAAAGGAAAAGATAACCTGGTGTATTCCAGGGTGTACCCTAATGTGATCCAGTTAAGGGGATGCTTAATCAGTTCAGTTTCAAGTATACTTTATGCATTAGAGTCCCTGAATGTTAATTGCAAAAGTAACCTTGGAAACAAGGACATTGCATTGTGTTTTCCATGGTGGTGATACTACAGTATTCAAGGGCATACAAAGGTAAATTAAAGACACAGTTTCAACTTTTCCTCTGGGTTCCCTTATTTTTGTTGGCTTTGGTTTTCAACATTTATTTCTTTGGTGTAGTGAATTCTTTGTTTAGTATTCCTGGGTCTGCCATCCAAATGTATCATAGTTACAAGAATTTGAATATGTAGCTTGTTGTTTTCAGTGTTCCCTAATGGCTCTTTGGGGGCAGCCCTGAATTCTGAGAGTGATAGAACCACTGTGACTTCAGATGCCCATATCGTCTCCCCTTTCCACAAAATAAGAGTATAAAGTAGCACTGTTTCTAGCAGCAAATTTTCTGTTCTTTCACTTACTCTATGAATAAAAGTAACACTGTAGAATTGAAAGCACCTGTGAGCACAGCACTGAAACTTTGTTAGATGAATAAAAGTAATATCAGCACTTTATGCTTCAAATAAAATTATCAAATGCTTTCTTGATATCATAAAAAGAAGATTTTAAAACCCAGAAGAAAATGGATCCAGTTTCCAGCACTATTTTAGATTTTTTTTCCTCTCTTTACTTCTTCTTTCCAAGCCTGGCCCTTGCTTGGGTCAGAGGGCTGTTCAAAAATGGTATGGACTGAATGACCACCTGTCAGATGTTGGCTAAGAGTTGGAATAGAAGACCTCTGAGGCTTCTTCTGAGTCCAGATCTATGGTTCTATATTGCACAAGAATGGTTCAGGTGTCATACTGATGTTGTTCCTGAGTGGAAGTAGCAAAAACAAATAACAAGAATAACAGGGGTTTTTTTCAGATTATGGCTTTTTGCTAAACTTCTGCAGAAGCCTAAAGCCTGTTCACTTATTTAGATACCCATCCCTGGAAATGCTGAGATGTTAAAAATAGCTGACATATACATAGTGCTTTGAAATTTGCAAGTTGCTTTAAATACATTATTTCATCTGAACCTCACAACAGCTCTATGAAGTTGGTACTACAGATGATGTCTTCATTTTACATAGGGAAAAACCAAGGCTTAGAAAGTTTAAGTGACTTGCCCAGGATCATGTGGTTTATAAGTCTAGAGATAAAATTTAATCCAAAATATTCTGACTCTATTAAGCCACAAAGAATATAATTATTTATGGCCTAATCTGTAGGTAAATAGAGTTTGAGTAAGCATTATGGAAACTATGGAGTTTTTTCCCCAGTGAAACTAGGTACTGCACATTCAGACATATCGATTTGTACTCTTCATGCTATTGAATAAATTATGAATTAACATAATTCAGTAGATTTGTCCAGTAATATTTAGAGTTTGCCCAAGGTGTTTTTTTAATTACAAGATATTTTGTATTAAGCGTTTAAATTGAACTGGATTCCTGTGCAACAAATTTTCTAAACTTTCTGGCAGCCTCTTTTTAATTAAATTAAGTTTTTAATCTCTAATGACAAGTGTGCTATTTCACTGCACACTATTTGGCCTCTTACTCTGGTAAGATTTTTTTAAAAGTCTTGTCCTGTTGGATCTTGTCCCTTATAATGACTTTTTGAAGTAGATGTAAAACTGTCAGGTTTCGTATCTCCTCACAGAAATTTTGGTACTACATTGCCTACTGAATTATTTTTTATACAAAGATTTTCCATCTTTTCCCAAATCTTCATCGCTGATCACTAACATCTAAAACACCATTTGCCATATTTATTTAGAAACAAAACACATAGAAAATATGAACCCATTACCCTTTCTCATAATTCACCATACCAATCTATTTTTAATACCTTGGAATTTAGTGTTGAAAAGTTGTGTTGCATTATGGAAAGAAGGCAAAAACATTTTTTTTTAGCAATGGTCAGCCCTTTAAGCTGATCCACTACAAAATTAACACTGGCATACACTCTTCAGTTATTTATATCTTTAATCTTGCTTGGCCTTTATGAAGCACCCAGGACAGTAAATAGTAGTTGCTTGGGAATACATTATCTTACATCCATATATGGAAAAGTTGACCTAGAAAAGGAGTATCTATTTCTTCAATCTTACAAAAAGATTCAAAAGTATCTAAGACCCATTAAATCTTTTCCTCAGCAATTCTCACTCAAATATAATAACAAGCAACAATATCCTAAGAAGTATCTCACTCTTAGGATATATATTATGTGTGTGTATATATATATACACACACATATATATATATGTGTGTGTGTGTATGTCTGTGTGTGTACATATGTATGTATGTGTGTATATAAATATATATAATTTTATTATGATTCTAAACTAGAAGAAGCTCCGTTTCCTTCAGACCTGAGCCTGTGAACCCACACTAATCTTTAAGGTTTTCCTAGCCTCTTAACTCTACTGTGAATCTGTGGATAGGGCCATTCAGTTAAGGCTAATAGCCCAGGTCCCACCACACACGCACACACACACACACACACACACACACACACACACACACACACACACTCCTTCTGCATGGACTTACATACTTGAGAATCCCTTAATGAATTTCAGTCTTTCCATTGCCAACAGTTCTTGAGAGTCCTTCCCTGGCAAAAGTCTAGCTGCCTAAGATTACAAATCTTAAAGCAAAAAGTGTTTTTAAATCCTCTCTTTTTTTTTTCTTTTCCACAGGGTCCAGTAGCATCCTCTTCATCAGTACTATCTGTCCTCTCCAGTGGGCAGGGTGTTCCCTCACCCCCTCCTCCTCCACCACCTCCAGGACCACCTCCAATCTTTGATAATGAAGGCAGAAAAGAAGACTCCTCACCATCACGTTCAGCTTTGTTTGCTCAGCTTAATCAGGGGGAGGCAATTACTAAAGGTTAGAGAATAAGAACAGTAGGCATGTCTCTCCTATCTAGTAACACCTGGTGTACAAGTCTTCCTACAGTTCATCACTGCTTATTCTTATCCCTGGTTGGCATAAGTGAATCATTCTGTTCCCATGCCATACCCATGCAAATACTATTGGGATTAAAAAATATTCCCCTCCTACAGGTAAAGTAACTCAATAAAGTCAGGATCAGACTTCAGGGGCTCCAAATTCAAAATCTGCCAGTTATTAACATATTAGGTAACTCTCTGATGCTTTGGCTTCTGCCTCTGCAATCCAAATACCAGCTAAACATTACCGGAGGGGTTCATAAATGGAGAAGAGACTATGACTGCTATCATGGAGCTTACACAGTAGTTGAATAATTGTAAGATGAATCCATCTTACTATGTTAATGAAGGAAATGAATTCCAGACATGAGGAACAAATTGTGCAGAGATACAGTGGGGAAAAGATGGAGTATTCTGTGTGAAGAACAGCAAGAAGGCCAGTGTTGCTGAATCAAAAAGTACACAGAAAGGATTAATGCATGCTATTCAATTTTCAGTGACAATTGCTAAAAGCTGAAAAGTACATGACAATACATTTTTGTTTTGCACAGATAATAGTGTGTGTAGGGGAAAGAATATACTAACTAGTCAATAGACAAACATTCTATTCCTGGCCCTTCTTGAAAAACCCTTTACCTCTCTCTCCAGATCTTAGATTACTCATCTGTGAAACAAAGTTGGATTTATTATTCTAGTAGAGTTTTAATGGCATACTCTAAATTAGGAAGGTAGGAAATATTTTACCTTCGTATAAATAAAAGTATTAGCCATGTCATTATTTTTCATTTCCTTCAGTGATGTGTGCCAAGAAAACATGAAATTCTGCCCTTCAGCTTTAGATCCTCAAGGCAAAGGTGTTTCAATTGGTAGTATGACCAGCTAGGCTATTATCTAAACCTCTAGATGCTATGGGTACCTAGGTGGCCCAGTGAATAGAGCACTGGACTGGGAGTCAAGAAGGCTTATCTTCCTGAATTCACATCTGTCCTCAGACACTTGTTTGGCCTCAGACACTAGCTATGTGACCCTGGGCAAGTCATTTAACCCTGTTTGCGTCAGTTCCTCATCTGTAAAATGAACAGGAGAAGGAAATGGCAAACCATTCCAATACCCTTACCAAGAAAATCTGAAATGAGGACATGAAGAGTCAGACATGAAACTCAATAGTAACTAGAATAACCAAACCCATGAAGTTTGCATAAGAGCAGGTGGCCCTAAGATATGTTTAGAACAACTCTGTGAAATTATGTCATTTCTGCTCAAATCATGGCTTCTTAGAGTTCTTCAAAGTAGAGGAAGATAGTTTCTCTTTACACAAGGTGTTAGGATACCTGTTGATGAATTTGTTTTTCTAGGACTCCGACATGTGTCTGATGATCAGAAGACACATAAGAATCCCAAGCTGAGGGCTCAAGGAGGACAAAGTCATTCTCCTACTAAAACCCACGCTTCAAGTTCCATCTCTCCCCAATCCCCTTTGCAGCAGAACCATCCTCCTGTGTTAGAGCTGGAAGGAAAGAAATGGAGAGTGGTAAGTATAGCTGTATCAATAGTTATCCAGTCCACACAGATTGAGACCGAGAAGACAAGGTACCAAATCATTTTCGATGACTGTATACAATACATTTTTTTCTACCTTAACATGTTTATTACCTGTTATGTTGACACAGGCTTACTGTGATCACATCCCTCTATAGCATCCATAACTTTCAAGGATTTCTCCGTATGGAAACTGCAGAATCTATATTATAATATCAATATTACAAAAATGAACAATTTTGAGGACTTTTACAAACTGATAAACAATAAAATTAACAGAACCTGGAGAATAATTTATTCAATAACAAAACATTGTAAAAAAAAAAAAACTTTTAAGCTGTAAGAACCCTCATGAATGCAATGACCATCCATGATTCCAGAGGACCAATGATAAAACATGCTATCCACCTCCTCACAGAGCTAGGTGATGGTTTCAGGGTGCAGATGAGACATGTATTTTTTTTTTTTTGGCAAGGAAAATAAGGAAATTTGCTTTGCTTTACTACACATATTTGATGCATGGGATCTTTCCCCAGTGGTGTGGAGATTGAAAGGAAGAGAAAATAGATTTCTGTTGGTTAAAAAAAAAACTTTGATAATAGAAATAAAAGTAGCAGAAGTATGACATTCTGAATAGAGATGAGAGTTGATGGTTCTACTAAGGCCATGGGCTTCACTAGAGATTTTCCCTAAACCAAATTTCCAAATGATTTAACCTTTAGAAGCTGTGTTTAACATTCACACTTCCACCCAATTGGGCAGGTTTCACAGGATTTACTGCTCACCCGTTAGCTTCTTTGCCCAGTCTAGTTCATCTGCAAGAGGGTACAAAGAAAACAGCCAGCCCATGATCTATGCATGTGTATGCTCATCAAACTCAAGCCAGCATGAGGGGTACTCTCAATTCTTCTGCATAGAGGTGAAGAACATAATTCTCCAGAAGGTAATTCTAGCTGACCAGCCAATGATGGCAACATTCCCCATCCACAGAGTGAAAATGTAAAAGCTGTAGCTCGTTCCCTGTGGAAGAAGTTCTGAAAGAGAGAATATACAAAAATGAAAAAGTCTGTATATTTCAACAATCAGTGGGACTTGCCCATCTACATATTAATACATGTAATATTTGTGTCTGGTTTTTTTTTTAGGAATATCAAGAGAACAGCAATGACCTTGTGATTTCAGATACTGAGCTGAAGCAAGTGGCTTACATTTTCAAATGTAACAAATCAACACTACAAATTAAAGGAAAAATAAATTCCATTACAATTGGTAGGGTAGACCTATGATTTTAGAGTTACTGTGATAATTCACTTCATACAAAAGCAATTCCATATATTTTGTGGAGTTTGTTTTTTTTCCTAGACAATTGCAAGAAGTTTGGCCTTGTGTTTGATAATGTTGTTGGCATTGTGGAAGTAATCAATTCCAAGGATATTCAAATTCAGGTAAGCTTTAGCACAAAACGCATTCTCTCCTTGCATAATACCATGGTAATTTCGTAAGAGGAGGCACAGTGAATGGCAGCAGAAAAGTGCCCTGGATTTAGAATCAGGATACCTGCTACTTCATAGCTATAGAGATAGTTATTATGGTGCAAATAGAAACCTAGGCAAACCATAGGGAGGGAGGGAAGGAGGGAAGGGAAGAGAAGGAAGGAGAAAAGAAGGGAGGAAGGAAAGGAAAAGAAGGAAGGGAGGGAGGAGAAGAAGGAAGGAAAGGAAAGGAAAAGTAGGTTTTGAAACCAGTTCCTAAAAGAATGCATTCCCACTCTTCTCTTCCCCAGCATAGCTAAGTGAGTAAGTTCCATTTACTTTCTGCCTGAAAAATAGAGAAGATAGTGAAAGGCCTTCAGTGTCATAAGCCCTATCACTTACAGTTATTGACTGTTAATCTACCCCCACTTCAGCCTATTATCAGTCTGTATGTTTCTACTGCCTCACATGTTTGTAGCCAGCAGTCTGTCTTAAGCCAGAAGTCAATCTGTGGCCCAGCTCCAGTTAGAGTCTCCACCGTTGGTAACTCGGGAATCTCCAGACCCTGCATCTTTTCTCTTTCTCCTTACCAAGTCCTCTTGACTTCTTTCACCTTCTTCCCCTTCCCAGGACTTTCATCTCTTCTCCCATGGTGAAATATTCCCTATTCCTAGGCACTAGACTGCTGAGAAAAGGAGGCCTGGTCAGACGGCCTTGGGTCTGCTACACAGAATCCTAGAAAATAGAGACTTGTCATCATCTGACCCTGAATTACTTCCTCATTTCCCAGTTCAAAAAAAAAAAGTGCAGTCTCTGCAAATCATGCTAGGTACATAAGGTTAACTGTATGCACATAGCATAAAATGACCTTTAATGTGCATATGAGCCATTATCAATTATACCAAGTGCAGAGTCCTATGCAGATGCATACATCACATCCAAATTAAAGTTGCATGAACTAGACCCAATAAAAAGGTCATAAATAAGCATATGGCACTTAGCATCACATGTTAAAGCTTCATTCTCACCGGGTATACATTAGATACATTCCATCAGTGGTTGTTGTCTTGCTATGTGTGCAACTTACTCTCCCTTTACCCTAGGAACAGCATATTGATAATCCTGGCACTCTTCTAGTAATATAATTAATTTTTTAAAACTATCACTTCTGCACAATTGGCCTGTATTCCCAGTTCTGGGACCATAGATGACTTAGATCAGGGGTGGGGAACCTGTGGCCTTGGGGCCATATGTGGCCCTCTAGGTCCTCAAGTGCAGCCCTTTGACTGAATCTAAACTTCACAGAACAAATCCCCTCAATAAAAAGATTTGTTCTGTAAAACTTGGACTCAGTCAAAAGGCCACACCTGAGGATCTAGAAGGCCACATGTATCCTTGAGGCCACAGATTCCCCACCCCTGGCCTAGATCGACCCTAATGAGTTCTGTCATTTTCAGTTGTGTCCAACTCTTTGTGACCCCATTTAGGGTTTTCTTAGCAGAGATACTGGAGTGGTTTGCCATTTCCTTCTCCAACTCATTTTATGGATGAGGAAACTGAGGCAAACAGGGTTAAGTGACTTGCCCAGGGTCACACAGCCAGTGTCTGCCAATGGATTTAAACTCAGATCTTCCTAACGTCAAGCCCAGTACTCTACTCACCATGCCACTTAGCTGACTCTGATCCTAATGAGTCACACTTAATTTCCTTGAGGCCTCCACAACTGGAGTTTTAGGAAAGAGGTAGACTCCAGAGTCAGCCTCTTCACCCATGTAGATAGAGGTCCCTTTATGGCTAAGGCAGATTGGGCAAGCTTCCCCAACCCTCAGTTTCCTCTTAAGCTAAATCTTGAGCCAGATTCTTTCCATATGGCCCATTGTCTGGCACCAGCTGTCTCCTGCACCTGTTGGGTGGGCCCTTCTTAAGTTCCCTTCTTTATTTCTCTGTTGCTCCTGCTTTTCTGGTTACCAGGGAATCTAACACCTTGATGTTAACAGTGTCTCTGTAGGGCCTCCACCATTCTCTGGTGCTATTTTTTAGATTGGGAAATTACCCAGTCTTTCAGCTACTTGGTAAATGATGGATCTCTACTGGTCCAGGATCTGGACACCAAGATTTCTTAACAGGACCCTTTACCCTGAATGGACTCCATAAGAGTGGACTTGAACATTAAACTAAAGTTGGCCTCTCTCAAAATTCTCATGGTTTACATGCTATTCAAGTGATGTCTCAGCCAAGTGACATATTAGTTATTTATACATTTTCTCCATCTCAAGAGCCTCCAAAGTAGAATAACAGACAGCTGTGGCTCACACCCAATCATAAGTATAGGTAAGAGGGAAATCTGTGGCATCATTGCTGGAAGTGCAGTGGTCAATCAAGTGCCTAATCAGACTGCTGATTCATACAGCTTTGACCTGCTCTGTTTCCAACCTGGGCTGGTTCATTCCTCCTTAGGCATTCTAGTAGCCTCCTGGGAGCTCTCATCTTTGTGCTAGATTTAGTGTGGACACCCAGTCTTCCTGTACTCCTACTGCAGTTCAGAGCTCCTGAGCCCAAGAGACCCACCAGCCTCAATTTCCCCCATAGCAAAGATAGCAGGTTTGCTTTACCACACCTAGCTTCACATGGTTATTTTAGAAAACCTCGGAAACAATTACAGAAAAATTATACCTTATAGTGAAATGAATAAATAAATGTATTTTAGGCTCCCTCACAGTCTCAACAACAAAAAAAAGAACACAAATCAATGAAACAGTAAGAGAATTATCAGCTTTCTGTACTGTCTCTCTAGGAGGTAGACAAGATTGTGCTAATGTGAGTTTGGTCCATCAGTAATGATGAATTCTTTCTTTAAACTTCTGCATGGAAAAACAATTCCTACTGTATATATGTCACTTGGAGAATGGGGAGGAAAACTTTAAAACACATCTCTGTTTGCTGAAATGTCTATGCCTGTTTAATCACCTCAGTCAAAAAGGCAATCAGTGCTTTGTAAACACAAATGAATAACACCAAAGAGATATAATCATAAACTTGGATGTACCTCAAAATATAAAAGAGAGATAAAAGAAAAATGATCTTTTCCTTGTAACTAAAATTGTTTTTCTACAACTTGCCCAGATTCATAGGGGAGAACCCATCTCAAGGTGTCAGAATTGTAAGCTTGGTACATTAGATTACCATTGTATTATGAAATTAAGTTTAAAATGGTGTTTAAACAGAAAGTTGCCTCCATAAGTTATTTGTTTGGTGTTCACTCTTATTTCTTCATCCATGGTCCTAGCATTTGCAAATTTCTGGCCAGTGTTGTGCATGTTAATGTTCTTTACTGCTGTTAAACTAAAGAAATTATGACAAAAATTACTGAAATGTTAGTGCTCTCCAGTTTTAGATTTCCTTTTTATTTGTCATGGAAATCCCTGCCATTTCTGTGACCCTAAACTACCTCTCCTTTTTTTTTGTACTAAGATATGTGGGCACTGAGTTTCCCCAAGAGAATTCTTAACATCAGTAGTGCCAGTCTACGTGAGTTTAGCAGTTGGCAACTCAACATTGTTTTTAGGATGAAAGAGGAGAAGTTCTTATCATTTTAATTACCGTTTCAAGAAGAAAAAATATGGAGCTGTAATATAGTAGGATAGAAAACATTTGACTACTATAGAACACCTCAGAGATTTCTAAAGCCTGGTTGTTTGGAAGAAACTTACAACTAAGCAGAATATTTTGGTAGCACTTAAATATTTGCAAACATTACACAGCATCTGTTCTCCTGTTGTGTACATTGGAGGCTGTTCTATGAATGGGCTACCCGTGCCCTTCTTCCATGACCAAGCTTTCTAAAAAAAAGAGCCCAACACTTATATGGGGTTTTATTATCTGTGAAGTACCTAAATGTATATTAATCTCATTTAGTTGTTACATTAACCTCATACGACAGATGGAGTAAGTGTCTTTGTCTAACATAAGACTTTGCTAAGGAGAACCATCCTGTTTCTCCTTTATTTTTTGGTAGGTTCAGAAAATTATTAATCAGTCGTCTATCGCATTCGAGGATCATTTATTTACTATTAAGGCTCTATAATATGACAATAATGTCTGTGTTCATTCAAACTTGGCAAAGATACATGGGGGAAAAAACTTTTAAAAAACATAGATTTAATGTATTCATTATCCAGTCATTTCTTCGTGAACATTGGAGTCCTACTAAGAAATAAGTGTTAAGCCACCTCTGGACACAGTGACTGCTATAATATGAGGACCTCCATCTCCTTTTTCAGGAAAGAGATCCTAAGTTTTAAAAATTCCTTTCTTATAATCCCTTTTTCCCAAAATGACAGTTCTGCCTTTAACTCCAGGAACCCACCACTGAACTATATCCTTTGGTTGTTATCCAAATATTCGTGAGATTTGCTTAAGGCCCATTGAATTTTACATTGGAATTTGTTCAAGTTTCTAATATGTTACCCTAGCGCTACAGGTTTATTCATTTGTTTTAACTGCAGGTTATGGGGAAAGTGCCAACAATTTCAATTAATAAGACAGAAGGCTGCCACATATACCTCAGTGAAGAAGCTTTAGACTGTGAGATTGTGAGTGCCAAGTCATCTGAAATGAACATACTTATTCCACAGGATGGTGATTATGTGAGTATATAGACTGCTGAGATCTTTCTTTAGACTCTATGGTTAACATTCATACTTTTGCTTAAACATTTATTCAGCTCTGAGCCTGCATTCCAATACTTCCATAAATCGATGATCTCTCTGATGTAGATACTGCCTCCAATAGTGCTGAACACAATTCATCCATAATTTCTTTTCTTGTGTTACTTTTCTGTTTTCCTATTAATTATCCGTGTGGGGTCTACCCGACATGACAGAGGTCCTCCTCTAGACTTTTTAAACATTATATGAATATCAGTGAGACACTCAAGCTATCCAGCTGTGACCTTTCATTCTTGCTACATGGCGAGTCTAACTCCATGGACCACACAGCTCCAGCTTGATATCATTTATTCTATTTATTTCACACAAGTCACGGTTCATAATAGGCTATAATACGTCCAAAATATGTATCTAAATTGCCTCAATGATAATAAAAATAGCACTTTATGGTTTGTAAAATGTTTTACAAGTATCCTTAAACCTTCAAGAATTATATAAATATAAATAGTTATTACATGGGAAAAGATAAAATAGTTGGGGTTCTTAGCACGACATTCTCTGGAAGAAAGTCTCCCATGATCTACTAGAAATCATGATCTGCTAGTCAATTTTTCAGCTGATGAGGAGCCAACACACAGGCTGATTTACTTGGTCTAGTCACTACTGCCACAACCAACCTCCCTTAAGCATGAGGGAATTCCCAGGGAGGACAAAAGCATGGCCAGAACTGCTCCTACAGGTGGCAGAGGACAACACTGAGTCTTACCCTCGTCTTAGGAACCATCACTTCCTCTCTGTGTCCTTCCCACACATACTTGGGCTGCAGCTTCCAAAAACAAAAGCAAAATGTGTTTTGACCTAAGTGGAAAAGTTCACATTGACTTGCATGTCAAGCCAGTTTGCATTCTGTACATTCTTCTGTTGGTTAAGACTTCTCATGAGATTTCATATCTTGTTTTCTATCCGCCCTCCACCTCAGCCCCATGTACTTGGAACTGAGTACGTCTCTCATTTATAGTAGGGACAGTAGTTTCAAAGAGCAATGACTCCTTCAAAGGAAAATTGAGCTCACCCAGAGAACATTGGTAATTCACACAGTAACAGAGAAGTGTGACTTGATAGCAAAAATCAAACCCCATTTACTGTGCTGGCTTCAACAAGAAGAGCCAAAATTTCATTGATGAAGAGCCAGACAGAACCTCAGAAGCCATCTAGTTCAACCGCTCTTCTAGAGTATTAAACATGTGGCTTCTGTGAGTTGCCCCTTCTGAGACTTTCTGTTGGTTCTACTGCCATTCAACAAATACTTACTGCAAAAATATACACACATATACGTATGTGCACACTCAAAAGAAGGGGCCTGATTAAAAATATGACTTGCCTTCAGCTGAACATAGCTTTGTGATGCACCAGAATATCCATTTCAGAAAGAAACATGTGCTCCAGGTCACCTACAACATTTTCAGTGACTCCCGAATGACAAATGAGGGAGGCCAGAGCTCCAGAGCCAGAGACAGATAGATGCTCATTTCCCTTAATTGAGAGCCCTAGATCAAGTACCCAAGAGCTATCCTTGAAAAAAACAGCAAAACTTCTTTACTCCACTTTTCCTTTCTATTCTGTTCCTTTGTTTTTCTAATGTATTGATGTCTTTATCCCAGATTGGAGTGGAAGGGAAAAAAGGGGAGGTGGGAAACTGATTTCCCTGTTAGCCACAATACATTTTCTCCCCAGGCCAGAGGGTAGGTGAGGAGTATTCGTACAATCTATAACTAATGACATGACTCGGAAAAAACAGGTTTTGTCTCTGTGTGATATCGAAATGGCTTCTGGAGAGTGGTGCAGAGCACCTCTCTGTGACTCAGGTTTACCATAGATATAAACTCTTTACCCATTATGTGCATTAATGTGCCATTGTGCCAACTGTTTGCATACATATGAGACAGCCTTCATTTATTTAACCAGCATTCTTGTTATCCCTCTACCAGAAAGAATTTCCTGTTCCTGAACAGTTCAAGACAGCATGGGATGGATCCAAGTTGGTCACTGAACCTGCAGAAATTATGGGATAATCTCCTTTGGACACACAGAACCTTGTGACCTTAATACCCCCAGGTCACTTGAACAAGGAATAGCAGCATCAAAGGACTAGAAGTAGCAGCAGCCAAGACTGCTGTAGTTTGGGCCTTCAAGCAACCGCTCTGTACTCTAGGAACAGGGATATTTCCAGCACACTTTATTAGGCATTCTGAAATCTTTGAAAACGCCTCACAATCTGCATTCATTTATAGTTTTGATCCTAAAAGATGCCATATGAACATAAAAGACTTAAAGAAAAAAATACACTCCCCTCGTATCATTGGCTATGGCATAATGACTGACAAGTCAAAATATTGCATGATACAGTTGTACATCATGTTCTGTTGCATTCCATTCTTATGTTAATACTAGTTGAAAAATATTAATAACTATCTTGAAGAATGTAAGATGCTAATTTTTACCTTTTAGCCAAATCATGTATAATGCAGTGAAAACGTGTCCAGGAAAGTGTGATTTATTTTGTAACTTTATCCATTAAATTTTGTCATCTAGAGTATGCATTTCAGCAAAAACATATCTGCCAGTAGAAACATATCTGCCAGTATTTTATCACACTTTTTATTAAATATTTAGGGAAAGTCCACCTTTGGATGCCAATTTATAGTTTCTGGGACCTCCCTCTTAGTTACTGAAAATTGAGTTGTCTCTTTTTTTTTCTAGAAAATACACTGATTTATGTAAAATTCTGCCCCATCACCAGAAGAGTTTTCATTTTTGTGCCTTCTGTCTTATTATTTGGTGGGGGGAGGTAATTTCTTTTACACATAATACCTCACACTCTTGCTCTAGAGATTAAGAAAAAAATTTTTTAAATTTGGTACCTATTAAGCATCAGATGCCTTGTAAATGACTTCCACTTTAAGGTTATTTCATACCTAAGTAGACCTTAGACTCGATTTGTTTTGCATATTGTACTACTTTTCTGCTTATAAAACTTACAGACCAGCCTTTGAAATGCACATAACAAGCCATAAATTTCTCCTTAATTAATTACCTATCAAAGCCTAAGGAATCGGTTCTGGTTTTGGCCCCCTGACTTAGTTTTGTAGTACTTGTAGACCATGCTTTTTTTAAGCACTGAAATAGACCTGGTATGCATTTGGGTATTTTCAATTCATAACACTGAAAAATCTGCATACTTTTTGGATCACATGTAATAATCCTTTATGATGATGAAATCTTAGTAACATGCTTGCAGAAATAGTAATGAGAATCTATATGTATGTATATATATAATATGAATTCATATATATATATATATATATATATATATATATATATATATATATATACATATATGCAGCCTTCAGGGTATGTTGTTTCCGTTTTTAAATATCTTAGATATCTCTACAGTACTATAATAACCAGTGCTCATGTAACAAGGTTTTGCTAACAAGGTTTTTGTCTATATGTATAATGTTGTGGCTTTATAGTAAAGATCATTTTTCAAGGGTATTCTGAAATAAAATGAGACTATAATTGTTTAAATATAGAGAATAATTCTGAATGTTGAAACTTTTTTTCCCGTCCATAATTCTCTTTTTTCATGTTCCCCTTCCTGATGTAGTTGGATTTGATAGAAACAGCTGTGAGTCTGTCTGGTTGAATGAGAGTATTTTGGTAGCACATCCTATCCAGCACCCCTGGAAAATAATTGGCTTGTTTCTTTGAAACAAATATATTAAGCCATCTGCATTTGAAATGCAAGACACTTTAGTTAGAGTGTCAACCACAAAATTCTATGATCCCTTTTTATAATTCATTGCTTCTTTGCCACCAAGCCAACTTGGTACATATGTTAGCAAATGTTAATCTCCATAAGATATATTTCTATATGTATCATTATTCTTAGAGGTTTACAGAAAAATATATACATACATTGCTTCATTTTACCATTACAAAGACCCTGTAACCAAGACAATGCAATCACAGTTATCTCTTCCACATCCTGACTTTCCCCATTGCAGTGTCGATATATTGAGGGTCAGCATAAGAAATAAAATGGGAATTTTGGGGGAGTTTTGCAGATGCCGCAGACAACTTGTGAAAGCCAGCACACAACACAGAAAAAGTTTAGAAACTCAGAAATGCATAAAATATATGTATAGTACTATAAACACCCCATAAAAAAACAAGATAAAATTCAGACTTCTGTGGTATGAAGGGAAAGCCACAAAATTTTACACAGATTTTCCAGAATATAGGGGTGCCACGCCCCTACCCACCACGATGTGGAAGGGAAAACTATATTATCTCCATTTTACACATGAAGACACTTAGGCACAGAGAATGTAAGACATTTGCCAAAGATCACACAACTAGTAAATAATGGAGTTAGGACTTGAACTTAGGGCCCATTAATCATCATAATAGCAATAATGGTAAAATGCATATACTAGAGCTTGTAAAATAATCATAACCCCAAATACAGTTCAATATTAAGAAATATTAAGTACTGTATAATACTAGATACAAAGATAGCTATGACACAGGCCCTGATTTCAAGGAGTTTATAAGCGAAAGGAGGAAACACAAGTCAAAAACACAAATAATTTATACGAGAGAGGAGGAAAAATTCAGAGGAATTATTCAAGCAAAGTAATGTAAGAAATTTGAAAAGGGAGGTAAATTTCACCTGGAAGTCAAGGACAGAGATAGAGGAGGCATCTGTGGGAAGCACAGAGGAAGTAAGTAGGTTTGAACAAGTTGGTGAAGAGCCTTGAATGTCAGAGTAAGAATTTTGCATTTTATTCAGTAGATAATAGGGAATCATTGAAGATTTTTAAGTAGAGTCACCTAATCACAGAAGCATATTGGGAAGATTGCTTAGGCCACAGCTTGGGAGAATAGTTTTAAAAGTAAATAGACTGATAATCTGATACTGGCTAAGAAACTGAGTGTATAAAATCTGTGGACTAGCTAGGTGAACAATATATAATAGCAAATGACATAGTAATCTAGTATTTGATAAACCCAAAGATTCAGGCATGTGGGGTTAAGAACTTAGTATATGACAAAAATTGCTGGGAAAACTGACAAGAAGTTTGACAAAAACTAGGCAGAGACCAGCATCTCACACCATATACCAAGATAAGGTCAAAATGGGTACATGGTTTAGACATAAAGGGTGACATATGCAAATTAGGAAAGCATGAAAAAATTTACCTGTCAGATCTGTGGACAAGGGAAGAGTTTATGACCAAACAAGAGATAGGATCATGGAAAATCAAATGGATAATTTTGTTTTATTGTTGTTCAATTGTATACGACTCTGTGACCTTGTGTGGTATTTTCGTGGCAATGTTATTGGAATAGTTTGCCATTTCCTTCTTCAGTGAACTAAGGCAAACAGAAGTTAGATGACTTGCCCAAGGCCACACAGATAGTGAGTATCTGAGCCTGGATTTGAACTCAGGTCTTCCTGACTCCAGGCCTAGTGCTCTCTCCACTGAGCCACTTTGAAAAGAAAAAGATTTCGCACAAATAAAATCAATATAGCCAAAATTAGAAGGAAAGCAGGAAATAGGGGGTGGAGGGGCATTGTTACAGCAAGTTTGTCTGATAAAGGCCTCAGTTCTCAAATATGTAAGCAACTGAGTCCAATTTGTAAAAATGAGAACATTTCCCAATTAACAAAAGGTTAAGGATATGATCAGGTAGTTTTCAGAAGATATCAAAGCTATCACAAGATATGAAAAATGCTCTAAAGCACTATTGATTAGGGAAATGCAAATTAAAATAACTCTGTGGTACCACCTAATACCTGTCAGATTGCCTAACATGACAGAAAAAGAAAATGACATCCTAGAAGGGAAGTGCAAAAATAGGTACACCAGTAGTACACTGTCAGTAGAGTTGGCAACTGGTCCAGTCATTCTGGAGAACAATTTGGAACTGTGCTGAAAGGTCTATAAAACTGTGCATCCCCTCTGTCCCAGCAATGCTACTCCTAAGTCTGTATGCCAAAGAGATCAAAGAAAAGGACCTATATGTACAAAAATATTTATAGTAGTTCTTTTTCTGGTTGGCAAACAATTGGAAATTGAGGGGATGTGCATCAATTAGGGAATGGCTGAACAAGGTGTGGTATATGAATGTAATGGAATACTATTGTGCTATAAGAAATGATGAGCAGAATGGTTTCAGAAAAAACCTAGGAAGACTTAACGTGAATTGATGCAAAATTAAGTGAACAAACAGGAGAATATTGTACACAGTGACAGCAATATTGTAATGAAGATCAACGGTGAAAGACATAGCTACACTAATCAATACAATGATCCAAGAGAATTCCAAAGGACATTCTTTTCACAATGAAAAATGTTCTCTATCTCCAAAGACAGAACTCTTGAACTCTGCAGATTGAAGCATACTTTTTTCCACTTTATTTTTCTTGCTTTTTTTTTTTTGGCAGTATGGCTAATATGAAAATGCTTTGCATGGCTTCACACAGAAATCGAAATCATGTAGCTTCTCAATGGGTAGGGGAGAGGCAGGAAGGAGGGAGATAATTTGGAACTCAAATTTTTTAAAAATGAATGCTAAATAATGTATAATTTTTTAAAGAAAAATGAATAGACTGGAGATAGGAAAAACAGGAAGGTATTAAAATGGTCTAGTTGAGAAAAGATGAGACCCTGTGTTTAATGGGAGTGAGAAAGAGGGACCAGATGGGAGAAAGACCATACAGGTAGAAATAATTGGCCTGACATAAGGAAGAGTCCAAAATATTCTAAAAATCGACATGATCCCCAAAGAAATAATTTTAAATTGGTGAACCAGTCTATTCAAAATGCATCATAAACTCTAGAACCAGTTTTAACTTTCCTGAGGTCTTCCGTACAAGATCATATGCACAGGTGATTTGGAATATGCCACCATAACCATTCTACTAAGCCTATGTGTCTTCAGCTACATTAGAATGGTTTTTGTGGTTTGGTTTTGTTTTTTCACTATATGGAATTTAACTTCTAAACAGGGTTATTGGAAATATTTTAGCCATATGTTGTAAAATGAAGCAGCTGCCACCGGGAAGTGTTACAGATGTGGTTACCCTTTTTCCTTTCTTCCTAAATCAATATTATTACCATTGCTATAAAATGGTAAATTATCTCAAATAATTTAAATGGCCAAATAAGCACAATCTTAAATATAACACATTCTGAAACTAAAAATAAAGGTGTACTTCTTTGATTTGCAGGATTCTCAGGATATCATTTCTTAAATAACACTACTCCCTTGTACTTAAAACTGCCTTGGCCAGCAGTGACAGTACACTGTGGTGGTTCTCTTCCTCTCTCTCTGGCTTATTCTCTGGCATCTCTTCCTTCTCAATCCCTATTCCAAACCTGGCCTTCACTTTACTCTATATGAGAACTCATTCTCTCTCAAAGTTTCAACTATCACCTCCAGGACTTCCACTAAGCTACCCATAAGGCATTTCTACCTGAATGTCTCACCTTCATTTTACATTCGATATGTCTGAAACTGAACTCATCTTTCCTCCCCTTCCCGACTAATTAGATCTCCCTCTGAACTTATCTGATTCTGTAAATAGCACCATCGTTCTTCAAAGTGTTCAAGAATTAGCTTTAATTTATATTTCTCCCTTGTCTCCAATACTAAGCCAGTCACCAAGTCCTGTTAATTCTTCCTTCACAATACCTTTCACAATCTCCCATTCCATCCAAACCTTATTTCTTGTTTATTATAACAACTTCCTGATTTATCTCCCTGTCTCTAACATCTCTCACTACCTCTCCCACACACTGTCCTTGACATTGCTGTCAGAGTATCCCTTAAATACTGCCTTAATCATGTTCCTCTTCTGCTCAAACATCATCAATGGATCCTCATTACCTACACAACAAAGTCCAAATTCCTAAGCCTGGAATTCAAAGCCCTCCAGAATCTGAATGAAACTGCCCAACTCAAACCTTTGTTCCAGTGAGCCACATATTTCTGTAATTTTGGTCATATTGGAGGCCACAAGGTATGATGAGTGGAAAATGGAGTGTATCTGAAGTCAGGACTCAAGTTCAAATTCTGGCTCCACTTCTTACTTTCAACAAGTTGTTCATCCTCTCTTTGGGCTCTAAATTCCTCATCTTTGAAATAAGGGAGTTGAACTAAGTGATATCTAAGGTCCTTTCCAGATCTAAATCTATAATCCTTTTACTTAGAATGCCCCACTTCCTCCATGTCTGACTCATTCTAACTATCCTAGTCCCAATTCATTTCCTTCTTACTCCATGAACCCTTTCCTAATCAACTCCAAACTACATTGATTTACTTTCTTAGGATGACATAGGTGACATTTAGTCAAAGACTGAATATGTATCTTCAGGCAAGTGCTATGATCTCTCCCCGTGAAACTCCTGGAAGACAATGGTCATATCTTATTCTTCTGTATGCCTCAAACACCACCCTGCCTTGTTCTCCTGTACTCTACACATTCAAACAATGCCTGGCCCAGGGCTATGTACATAGCAGGCACTCAA